TGGGAGACAGTACTTCATCCCTCTTGGGGTGCCCCTCCTGGCCTGCTGAAGTCCTGCAGTTCTATATCCTGACAGTGCACATAGGTCAGCCCTCACTCCTCTTGGCATGGGTGGGGCAATCATTTCATCTCCCACCACTCCTTCAAGTGTGTTAGCCTTGTTTCCCCCTGGCCAGTCCAGCACACAGAATTCTTTGGAGGGCCCTGACCCAAAACTTTGCCACTGCCCTGCCTTCCCTGGGGTCTTGTTCTTTACTGGTGTTCCATTTCGAAGCAGAACCTTGCTCCTCCAAGAATGCTGAGCTCCCCCTTTGCCCGTAAGGAGATGTGTTTTCTTCCTACTGCTTCTGAAGAACTTCCGCCACCTCCATGCATACCTTCAACACAAACTGCAGGAAGCTGCCTCAGAATCAGAAAGGATAAGCCACAACAAGTATTTTTAAGCCCTGTAAAATCCAGAATTAACATCAGCAATCATTTCCTGATATACCCGTGCTTGGTGAACACCTTCTGGTGCGAGCAGCTGTCAGGGTCTAGTGTCTGGGCATCATGGGTGCACACTTGCTATTCACATTTCAGAGAACTAACAGGTCCTCTGCTAGAGCTGGCATCTGACAGGGTGGTTCCTTTCACATGACTCCACAAATGGTCAGGTGATTGTGAGGGATGGGTCGAGAAAGCCCATTTATTGTCCTTTTCTGCCTTCCTGTGGTTTGGGCTTTGCGGTCAGAGACTGAAGACAGAAGCCAAAATAAACAAACCAATACACAGTGGTCAGCAGGACAGCACTCTAACAGGGTTGCAGTGGTCCTTGAGGCCTCTGCTATTTCAGTTTGTTCAACAACTTCTCTGCTTCCTGACCAAATGGCGGATGCTGAGCGCTTGATAGTAATTGCAGGATGCTGTCAATATAAAGGTCTCATCTTTAAGTTAGCAATGACCTTGTGTTCTCAAAGTACACTGAAGACAGGTGTGCAAATGCTACCTCTATAGACATGAAGCCTCATCAAGCCACAAAATCTGGACTTAGGTTTTGCTTATCCTCTGAACTCTTCAGGGACTGGGGCTGGTGGAAAGATATGGACCATTCACTCCATGTACATTAGTATGAATTGCCAACTTTATACATCATAGAACCCCCTGGGAAGGGAGTCTCTCTAAGGGGTTATCTAGATGATGTGAGCCTGTGGGCAAGGCTGTGAACGATTATCTTGATGACACTGGGGTGAGAAGACCCTTCCACTGTGGGCATTAATGCTCCCTAGGCAGGGAATTCTGAACTGTAAGAGTGGAGAAAGTGTGTGCTCTGGACAGGGGACATAGTGTGATACTGTGGGTGTGACATATCACTGTGGAATGACATGACACTAGATGTGATGTGACACTGGATGTGATGGGATCAGTGCTTCAAGTTCCTTCCACCTTGGTTTCCCCACAGTGACGGACTGTAACCTGGAAATGTAAACCAAATCAACCCCTTCTCCCTTAAGTTGCTGTGTCAGGCGGTTTTCTCACAGTAACACGTTCCGGAACTAAGGCACCATGTCAGGAAGGGGGCTTCATGGGAAAGGTTTAAGATTCAAGGGATCCCATTGGAGCAGCACTTCTTAGACACTAATGCTCATTTTATGATACACATACACAGAGAGACACACACATATACACAAATGCACCCAGACACACATGGACACATACTTGGACACACACATGCTCTGATAAAGTTTTACCAACACTCTTGTCTGTAATGCTTTGGAAGGCATTCTGACAATGTGTATCTTTTTTGCTCTGCTCTCTCTCTCTCTCTCTCTCTCTCTCTCTCTCTCTCTCTCTCTCTCTCTCTCTCTCTGTGTATGTGTGTGTGTGTGTGTGTGTGTGTGTGTGTGTGTGTGTGTGTGTTAGAGTGTACACCATGGTGTATGTGTAGATGTCAGAGGACAACTGTCAGAAGTTGGCTCTTGCCTTCTACCTTTTTTTGAGGCCAGGTCTCTCTTGTTTCTGTGGTATTGTACCATCGGGCTGGCTAGATGGCCTATGAGCTTCTAGGGTATTCCCCTGTCTCTGCCTCACATCTCACTACAGGAGTGCTAAGAACACAAATGTTTGCGTCATACCCAGACTTCTGCGTGGATTCCTGGGGTCTGGACTCAAGTCCTCACACTTGCTTGGCAGGAGCTCCTCACACTAAGTCATCTCCATGGGCATTCTGCTTACCTATTTTGTACAATAGCCTGAGCACCCTAATTTCAGGATCCACAGGGTCTTCCTGAAGTACTGGAGGACAACAGAAGTCTGCAAGGGCTGGTATGTGGAAGAACTGCCCAGGCGTTTGTCAGAAACGTACATCTAGACACATCTTCACAGAGTGAGATTTGGTGACAGGGAGGACAAAGCTGCTACAGCAGATGTACTGGGTTCCCACTCACTTGGTGGCCTACTGAAACCCTCTCGTCCATCCTTACTTATTGCAGCCCAGTGCAGCTAGAGGCCCAGCAGAGCATGGCTGGACTCAGTTCAGGGTCTGAGAAGGTGGACATGTCAACAGAGCTGCCTGTCTTCTGGAGACTCTCAGGGAGAATCCATGGCGCACTCATTTGTGCTTAGTATGCAGGACTGTCTCAGGCCTTTTCCCTCGAGGCAGCTGCCCCTGAAGTTGTCTTTAGCTTCAGGTTACTGGAGCTCCTCTTTTGCTTCTTAGGTTTCACTCAATTACAGTGGGTCCATCTTGACTATTCAAGATTATTTATCAACCTTGGCTCCATCTGCAAAGTCCCTTTGGCAGTGTGCACACATAGTCATGGGTGAAATACTGGGGCAAGGCTCAAAGGACCCAAAATGCAACCTACTACAGTGGGTCAGTGACACAATTTTCATGTGATGGAGAGGATTAAGTATTAAAAATAATCCCACTATAAATCAGTTTAGCTGAGAAATGACTCTATATAAGATTAAAAATAAATACTAATTAAATCAATGAGGTTTTAACCTAACGAACATCAACTCATCTGAAAATCCCCCCACAGGCAAAACACACTGTTTAGCTCTAGTTCTGGAGGTGGAGACTTAGAAAGAGCCCTCCAAAGCATCCCTGAATAATTTATCTCCAACAGTAAGTGCAGAGTGGCTGTTATGTGGACACGAGCACTCCTGCAGGCTCCCTGTGCTCCTCAGTCCTGACTTCAGCGCCGCCGCTTGGCTCACGCCAACCTGTGTTTGAGTGGCTCATCCCCGCCATGGTCAATATCGACTGCCAAGATGATGGGATCTAGAACCATCTATTAGAGTAATGTCCATGAGGGGGTTTCTAGATTGGGTTAACTGAAGGGGAAGACTCCCTTAAAAATGGAGAGCACCATTTCATGGACTGGGGGCTTGTACTGAATGAAATGACTGAGGAGAGCTGATCATGGGCACCTCCCTTTCTCTGCTTCCTGCTCCAGCTGCCTTATGCTTCTGCCCCCATGATGGACAGTACTCTCAAACTGCGAGCAGAAAGAATCGCTCGCTCTCTTAAGTTGCTTTCGCCATGCATTTCATCAGAGCAATGAGAAAAGTAACTTACACAACCCCCAGTTTTGGTATCACTGAATTAGACATGGAGCATTGAGTTAAAGAATGGACTCTAGGCGGGCGGTGGTGGCGCTCGCCTTTAATCCCAGCACTCGGGAGGCAGAGGCAGGCGGATCTCTGTGAGTTTGAAGCCAGCCTGGTCTACAGAGTGAGTTCCAGGACAGGCTCCAAAGCTACACAGAGAAACCCTGTCTCAAAAAACTAAAAAAAAAGAAAGGACTCCAGAGCTGAGGGAGATGGCTCTACCCACCCAGAGCACACTTGCCGGACATGTGGAAGGGCCTGGGTTCAATTCCCATATTGAAAAAAAAAAAAAGGAAAAAATTAGACTATGTAAGAAAGGGAAGAGATGGGAGACGAAGGAAAAAACATACACAGGAGAAGCTGGAGGAAGAAGCCAAGTGAGGCAGCAGGAGGAGAGGGCAGAGAGGAAGGAAGACAGGCAAGCAGCATCAAGGGGCTGAGGCTCCCTCAGTACTGGGACCCAGCATCTCCAGCAACATAAACAAATCCATTTATTTTACTTGTTTCTTGGTAGGGTGGAGATTGATCAACAAAGAGCCAGGTGAAGACACGGTGAGGAGAAGAGAATTCAAAACAGAGCAAAACACAGCCAGGCAGATCTATGAGCCAGCAGCTCCACTCCTGGGGTCACAGCAGAGACAAGAAACCAAAGGCTTAGCCTCCCATGAAGGTGGATCCAGCCTGAAACCTGCCTCAGAAACTGCAGGTCTGCTCCACACAGTCAGCAAGGCAGCTCAGGCTGCTGAACGGAGCAGGTGAAGCAGTGAAGGCCATGGGCTTCCGAGAGATCCATTTTCGCAGAATAAACTGTCCTGGGCTGTAGCTGTGTGTCCGCCTCTCTCCCCACTCACATTCGATTCTCACTTGTTTAATTTCCACAGAGAAAAAGAAATGCCAGAACAGCAAGACACTTGCCTGGCTTCTTTGGCGCCAGCCCCCAACAGCACGATTCAAGCCTCTGGGTCATAACTGGGTACACTGTTTCCTACCCAACAAGGATTATAGTCAGAAACAGGAACAAGACTCACACATTTAAACTCATCTGCCGGGGACAATTTTAAGAGCCATGCCATAGTGCCTGCCTGAGTTAAGTTTCTGTTGTCCCAGTATTGAGCCACTAACCAGAAACTTTTGACATGCCTGGACAAGTCCTGAGTTATTAGAAAATAACTTAACATTTCCTTATCTTTCTGCTACAGTGACCATTAGTAACAATGTTTTGTGGTTAGGTTGCTTGGTTGGGTTGCTTGGCAACTCAACAGTCCCCTGATCTTTTCCCAAAGAAAGTTTCCTGGTCTGCTTCTATAAAACCCACCTGAGAAAAATAAAATTTTGCAGCTTGATCAGAATACTGTCTTGCTGTCAATTCTTTGTGTCTCTTGTCCCTTCATTTGCCATTCCCCCTTCTAGGGTCTCTGCTGAAGATCCCGCTGGCTGGGACACTCATCTAGACGAGAAAAATGGTCGAAGGACACATGTGGGAAACCAGGCACCTTAAGCAGGAAACACACAGATCATCTCTAAGAAAACAAGCCATATGGAAGTGAAGGACTCACAGGTAGGGTCCCAGCGTTAGTCTTGTGCAGTGTCTGAGGGGCACTGGTTCACATCCAAAGTGGGCAGCAGGTCCTTAAGCAAGGAAACCACTCCAGCTCTACACAGAAGCCTGGATGTCAGAGCAAGGACCCCTGGGAGCCATGCTGAGTTTTAAGAACCAGACTCATCTCACTCAGTGACCTTCCTTGGAGTAGCCTAAAAGAAGGCTGAGCCTGCTTTCACAGTCCCAGGAACTGTGCTGCGCGTCACAGATACAGATTCTCAGCTGTGGATGGGAAGACAGAAAAAGCCATGCATTGGCTCAGACTGACACAGCAGGTCAGTGGGGGCAAAGGAAGTCAGGAATAGAAAACAGGAAGTTGAGAATGAAATGGGGCAGGAGAGACTGTGGATGAGTGAGGAGGCAGGTGGAGAGGAGTGGCCAGGTCAGAGTCGAAGGTTCAGGCAGCTCAGGGATAGTGGTACAATATAGATACGAGGTGGGTGAGGAAGGCCAGGTTTCCTTGGAGAGGGTTTATTTACTTTCTTTTAAAATTATTTTTATTATACTGTTACTTATGAAATGTTTTGTGTGCATGGGTGTGGGAAAGCACAGGGAAGTGAGAAGACAGCTTGCAGGAACTGGTTCTCTCCTTCCACTAGATGGAATCTAGGGAGCTAATTCAGCTAATTCAGGTTTGGGGTCAAGTGCCTTTAACCCACTGGGCCATCACACCAGCCCCTTGAGGAGCCTGTGCCCTTGCTCCTGCCTAAGCAGCCTCTCCACCACTGAGAAAGAGCCAGGACCTCCACCAAATCGCTTCATTCATTTCACTTCCAGAAAAGCAACTAAGAATTAAGACTGTTCACAGACTCCTTAAAAATTTCTAAATCTCTTTAAAAACAATTCTGAGACTTTCATGCCATCCAACGTGACACGGTCAGAAGCTATTTGTATTGTACAAATACTCACAATGCTATTGCTATTGGAATATGTCAACCTAAATTTCAGTTAGGCTGAGAAACATACTCTATTTGACAAAATTCCTCAATGAATGTAATTGCCACGTAAGATTCATTTGAATGTAATCCACCAAGACATCTATCTACTCCAACCCTGCTTCTAAATGTGAAAACAGGCCATTTATTTGCTTTGATTCCATTCTCATTATGGGTCTTTAGCAAACACAACAGGCTACTTGGTCAAGACACACTTGTAAGTAATGTTTTCTGATAAAGCTTCTTGCCCCAGTGATCATAGAATGTGGTGGAAGCCACCCACACAGCAACCCCATGTCCAGGTTTCAAGCTGTGAAGATCAACAGTGAGCAGTGAGTGTTACAGTCCATTTTTTTTTTAGAGGAGATTGTTGTGTGACACTCTTCCTGGGGGACTTAAATGAAGATCTACATGTCTCCAGATGGAGAGCTGATGAGGATAGCAGTGATGCTTTGAATGAGGATAGTCCCTGTAGGCACATATGTTTGAAAATATATTCCCAGTTGGTGGAACTGTTTGGGAAGGATCAGGAGGTGTGGCCTTGTTGTAGAAGGTTACAAAAGCCCACATTATTTGCAGTTAATTCTTTATCTACCTCATGATTTTGTAACAAAATATAAGCTCTCAGCTATTGTTCCAAAGCTATGCCTGCCCTGCCAAGATGGTTGTGGACTCTAACTCCCTGGAACTATGAGACCCAAATAAACTTTTCATGGTGTCTCTTCACAGCAACTAAAAAGTAACCAAGACAATGGTAAGGCCATAGTAAGGATATTGTCACTCTAACTGAGTGAACCAAGGAGTTTCAGTCAAGTTATTTATGGGAATATGGGTTGGAGGATTACTTACAGGAGGAGAAATGACTCAAACACAGCTGCATCACTAAAGCCTACACCAGCCTGGGTGACAGCTCACAAAAGCTGGAAACCTGAAACACACTGCATAGCTTGCTTGGGGCTCAGCAGATTGAAGAGGGTCCTTTCCAGGCGGCTCGGCTGATTTGAGTGTTTTCTAGCTAGCTGGGGCTTTGTTGTCTTTCAAAAGTACTTGCTGTTTATATACAGTTTAGAGAGAAGGGAGCTAGTAAATTTGATCAGTTTCAGGGACTTCCTGGGTTTAAGGAGCTACCCTGCCCTTAAATGGATGAATGCTCCACCTCTCTTTAGAACATCTGTGTCTTAGTGAGCTTCTCTCCAAGATGAACAGTTTTATCTGTTACACAAGGATCTTGGCCTCAGACTCGTGAGCCTCCTGCCTCAGACTCAGAAGTACTGAGAATATAGACACGAGCCACCAGTACCAGCCTTTGCTTCACATCTTGAAGATTTATTACTTAAAGACTTATTTTTGTATTATTTATTTAAGTATGCATGTGCTGGATGCAACCAATTGTTTTGAACCATGAGGCCATCTCCCCAGCACCTTGTGGTACATATTTTAATGAGCATACCCACAAAGCTAACATGTGAACTCCAGCAATGAAAGTCCTTCACTTCCACAGCTTCTCTTCCTTCCCTTCTCCTAGAAGCTGCTTAACTCACACTAGCCCATAACTCATGCCTTTCCATCACTCTCCCACATGAGTCTTATAGCTAGGGCTAGAAGAGGGGAGCCAAGTCCCTTCACTAATCAGACACAGAGGATGCAACTTTGGGACTTGTGAGTGACTCTCTTCTATGAATGGAGAAGCCATCAGAGGGAGCAGAGAGTAGATGGGCAGGTCTTAACAGCAGCCAAGTCCCTGCTGGGCCATCCTCAGGACTAGTTTTGCTCTGGTCCACCCTTTTATTTTTGTCCTTTCAGGGGAAAGTTAGCTTAGTTTAGTCAGCTGTAACCAGTTGCAGCCAAGATGCAACTGACCAACCCACCCTATTAACACTAATTACATCATGTAAAGTCATGACAGACACTTATTTTTTACTGGGCAGGGGTGATGTTTCAGCAGAACATGCTTGTGGGGTATTTGGTGTGAATGCTGTTGATTGCTGATGGCGTTACTATTTAAGGAAATGTATTTCCCATCCCTCTCATGAGTCACTATGAATTCCTTCACTAAGCTAGTTCTGGTGTCAACAGAATATTGGTCAGATTGGAGTTAATTAACAGGAGAGGCTAAAGACCCTCAGAGGGTCCAAGCAAGCACTCTGCTGGAAGACCCACACCCAGCCCCAGCCCGCTCTGCAGTTACTGCCCCTGCTTCTGATAAAAAATAGGCATGCCCTGTCTTGAGGGAAGGAGGTGACCTGTGGTCAGAACCACACACAGCCCACTTCCTTCACCTTCAATCCAGCAGTCCTTTTCCATGGAGACAATCTGAGGGTGGTGGATGAGGTCATGTGTTTGTCTGTCTCTCCAGGCCTGGAGCAGGCAGCTGGCTTGGATGAAACAGCTCATTTACTTCATTGATCCTAAGCATCTTCCTAGTGCAGGAATAATAAGACCTTCTGGGCTCTTCTCTCTTCACTCTGCCTGGACTTTCAGTGTCTCAGTATGGGGCCCCTGAGCTGATTTCCTGTTGATCACAAGACATCTGGAAGAAGGAAACACTTTAATTGCAATGGCCATGCCTTGCTTGGAGGCTGGTCTCCCTAGGGTCACAGCCACCTGTCAACCTCCAGCATCTGCCTCTCCTGAAGCTAATAGAAAGAAGCAGGTTTGTTCACTGACAGGAGCTCCAGATGAGGCTGGGCGGACCCTGCAGCCATGTGGGGGTTGATGTTGCCTGACAGGCATAAGACAGGCCTTCTGTCCCCAGCAAGACACAAGCCGCATGTGTTCTCACTGTGTGCACAGTGCTCTCACTGTGTGCATGGCCCTAGGAGCCAGTGGGTTTCACAGATCTCCAAAGTGGCCAGTACACTTACAAGTCTGGTTATAATCTCTCACACTCCCTACTCCACGTTAAATCCCACCTGAGCCTCAGTTTATTGTTCTAAAACAAGGAGCGTCCTAACTGTCTAGCAATACTTTATAGGGGGTCAAAGAAAACGATTTATGCTAAGTGGTTTACAGGATTTAATGAAGTGACAAAATCACTATGTGAACTGGAAATCAAGATTCTTCCTACCAAGTCCACAGGCAGTTCATGTCAAGGGGCCTCTTAGAGACACCTCCAAGCCCTTGCGGGTCCCAACCTCTGAAAGAGTATGTGACTATGCCAGCTGCATCAGACCCCACCTGGGAAGCACCATGCAAGGAGAGTTGGTGAGAACCCCTTAAAGGGAAGGTCACATTTGAAGGCTCAAAATGTTAATGTAGAGTCAAGCTCCTTAAACCTCAAGGTCTGGCTTAAAAGACAGAAGCAGATGTGGACAACTGCTCACTCACCTTGGCCAGCACACACTGATCGGCAGGCAAGTTCATGGTAAAAAAGCAGATGCCAGTTTAGCACTTCCAAGCAGAACTCTGCTCAGAGCTCACCAGCACCCTTATCCCTGAATTTAGGCAGAAGCTTGGTATGACTTCAAGCAGCCTTCTAGAAATTATCACTCAACGTACCCCTTGCTGGTTTCACTCTGTAGCTCACCTTGGAGGCCTAGAAGGGTCTCTTTTAATGTCTCCCTCTTCTCAAAGACTTACATGCTACCAGTGTTCTGTTGAACCCCCAGGCAGGGGGAATACACAATTACACCCATGCCCTTTTCACAAGAGAGTCTCTGGAACATCATAGCTCTCCAGACAGGTTCTAGTTTTCTTTCTGTTGCTGTGAAAAAAACATTCTGACCAAAAGCCACTTAGGTGATGAAATGGCTTATTTGGGTTACACTTCCAGATTACAGCCCATCATTGAAGGAACTCAAACAGGAACTCCATGAAGGAATGCTGCTAGCTGGTTTATTCTCTGCCTTGCTCAGACCCATGCTCAGCTAACTTCCTTCTGCAAACCAGGACCACGTACTAGGGAAGGGTAGCACCCACAGTGGGCTAGGCCTTCCTATAGCAATTCCTATAGCAAGAATCAAGACAATCTTTCCCAGACATGTGCACAGATCAACTTGATACAATTACTCAATTGAGCCTCTTCAGGTGATCTTAGGCTGTGTCAAGTTAACAATTAATGCTAACAGGGACAAGGGTACTACGCTTCTTGGAATCAGGGCATCTTCTTCCCCAATATGTCAGTGAGTGGAGACCTCTAGCAGACAGCCTGGTGCTGTCCCAGAAGACAGGAGAGAAAATTTGAAGACTTCTGTGGATAGTGGCAGAGAACAAGCCATGCTGAGAAACATGACCGGCCACACCCCCTGCCAGCAGACTAGAAACCACATCTCTATTTTAGGAGGACCAGAGTTAAGTGGGCACTAGTGAAATATCTTCCAGTTTCCTTTCTCACCACATAT